CGCGGACGTTTTTGAGATATCTGCGAAAAACCGCAGGGTGGGGGGTGTTCAAACACCCCCCCCCCCCGGCCCGGCGCGGGTTAAGATGTTGGGCTAAAACTTGCTAGGGTAGTTAATGATTGTGTGTTCTAGCACATAGTTCCGGTTTTTGCGAAAAATCGAGAACTTTGTTTTTAAATCATAAAATAGATTTTTTGTAATACAAGTTTCAAAATTTTCACAATTTCGAAAATTCAAGATGGCAGTTTGATAGCTACGTGTATTTGTAGTCCACTCATGCAAAGAAATTGGATCTAGCTTTAAAACTCAGCTCTTGAGAGCGTTTGCCGTAATTCAATATTTTGCATAAAATCGGCCCACATGACGTCACTCTGACGTCACTTTCGGCCTAACTATGGTAGCTAGAAAGTTGACATTTTAGCAAAACGTGTAAAATTGATGCCTGTGAAGGTACCGCAAGTTTCGTGTTGATTCGTCAAACGGTTTAGACGATATTGCTGAAAAACCGGAGGGGGGCTCTGTAGAGCCCGCCTCCGGTTTGACTGGGGGGGGGGGAGTCATGCGCCAGTTAAACCAGTTTGAGCATCATGTAAAAAGCTGAATCTAAAATAGGTGCCTTTTTACACAACCGTAGGATATCCTTCGCCCCAGTGGGGGGGGGGGGGCATATGTTACCACCCTGTCGCGTTTTTTGCGTGTGAATAAAAAAACGCGGCGCGTAGCGCCGCGTTGCTTGGGGTAGCTATTTGCACATCAATTTTGGACAATGTGTGAAATTTTTGACCCCAGGTCATGTCAGGTCAGGTCACCAGGTCAAGTTAATTGACCAAGCCTAAGAAACGTTTGCAATCATGTCCAGCCTGCAGTGTTTGTCAGAGAGATTTGAAACTTGGTGGATTACATGATGTTATGGGCGCCTACAATTTGTATATCTCGGACTTTTTTATATCCGTGACCTATGGTCAGGTCAGTGGCGTGACCTTTCCATTATAAGTCAATGGAGAAAAACGAAAATGCCTCTAGATCCTTGTTTACGAATAAGAACAGTCCAAATACTTCAGAATCACAATGATTTGGACCGCCCGTGACGACCAAGGTGTAGTTTTTTTTTGCTGATAGCCTCTAGAAAGGTCATCCGAGGTCATTTGAGGCTACAAACAGTTTTTTGCCAATAACTCTTGATCGGATAGAGATAGAACGCTGCGGTTGGCCTCATTGTGTTTGTCTTGCCGAGACGCATCGACTGATATGCAACATGACCTTTTCCGGTCAAGGTCAAATTTTCAAGTTGACCTTACAAGGTAAATTATAGTTCATTCGACGCGTATCGGCGAGAGGAACACGATTCTGGCAACAGAAATGTCCTGGCTTTTTATAGTCAAAAGTTATTGTCGAAAAACATTTTTCGTAAAAAAAACATTTTTTGGAGTTTTTGCCTTCTGGAGGCTAAACCGTTGACCTGAGGTCATTTTTGATGATAACCTTATCAAAAGAAGAGTTCAAAAGCTATCGATTGTTTATCCAAACGTTTTCCTAGCTATCATATTTCCTGAGATAATGGCATGTTTTCTGAAAAATATAATGACAATTCGCAAATTTTGACCTTTGATGACCTCTGGTGACCCCAATATTGCTCTAAGATGAAAAATGACCGAAGTACTTTCAAACGTACGCATCGAGAGCTATCGACTGCTTTTTCCCGCGTCTTTCTAGCCCTCTTAGGTTTTGAGGTGGGTGGTAACATATCCCCCCCCCCCCACACTAGGGCGAAGTTGGCTGAGACCGCCACTGGGGCGCGGGATATAACATGCATTCAAAATAACCTAACTGTGGTATATTAAAATGTTGTTAGCCTACCTTGTAAAAAAAACAACAACAAGGTAAAATGATCATCAATAGATATGGTGTGGGCATAGGGACATAGGAGGTCACCTGGTTGATCGCAGTTTTGCTTTACTGCGTAGCCATGCATTCGGTAGTCTCAGAGGCGCATTAGCACTCAGTTTTTATGCCTACGCGGATCTACGGTCCAAAAGTGCGGGCGCTGCGAGCCGGACCCACAGAACTAGAACAGGGCCAAATTGGTTTGCAAACAAACAATTTCCAGAATTCACTGTACGAAAAATGGCAGGACTGACAAAGCCACTGCTCAAATTTCCCAATCATGTAGCAAAGGATAACAACAATTGCGATACGAGCTCAGTTTGGCGGTGGCTTTGAAATGACAAATTCACCACAACCCTTCACTGACCTCCAAACAATATCGAATCAGGAACTGAATATTAGTGACTTTACATGAGCATAGTTTTTATTATCATGTTTTTAATTCACTTTCCCTTGAAAAAACTAAATCAAATACATACAACTAAGTTGAAATTTCAGAACGCCCTGCAATGATTTCTGTACATAATCGGGAGTACCTACATTGAGGGACGGAGAACATTAAAACATATACAAAAGAAGCCACAGTATCAACGGATTACTTATCACGTATTCAGTGTGCAGGTCCCTCGAGTGCCTCTGCCAGCCGGGCACTGCTGGCACAATGCCAAGCTGTGTGTCTGACCGGCATGCTTGGCCGGCACATCTGGAGTCGGACAGTGGCCTTTGGTGAACCTAGCCACCTAGTGGTGACTTTTGAAGTCTTAGTTCCGCCACGCATGGGGCCGAGGTGAGGTTGTTAGCGGAGCGCCGCCAGAGTCAACATAAAGTTCTTGAAAAAGGCACACTGTATTTTCACCGCTTGTGAGCACTCGGACACGAAAACCGCACGACCGTCACGCTCCGGCTCCGTCCCCGAATGCCCGCCCCCCCGCCGGCCGCCGCAGTCAGCGGTCAGCCGGTGCCCCGCGGCGGTAACCTCCGCAGGGGCGAGGTCAGGCTCCGGCGGAGGGCAGGGCGCCCGCAGGGGCGAGGTCAGGTCAGCCCCGACTCGACTCGGACACCGCAGCGACGCGGTGTAACATAAACGCACATACGGGTACACTGCCCCCCTCTACACCAAGTCGCGCGGACAAACAAAACAACCAACAAAACTGGCGCGCGTGTCATATCATCTTGCGGAACTCGCCAAACCACACAAATCGCAACGAGAAGCGCAACAAAAGAAACACTTTTCACCCGCCATCACAGTCAATGTACGGCATCATCAACAGAGCAACTTCACCCGTAGTAAAGAGAAACATTCAGACAAAGCTTCCATGTATGTATAACAACAGCAGCCGGGGCGGTCATCGGAACTAAGGGTTTTACGAACTTTACGAAGTTGGAGATGCCGAAGGACATGTTTCGTCGGAACCCCCATCGCCAAGTGCCGCCGCCCGCCGTCCACGGTCACGCACGCGCCTCGACCGTCGGAAGAATGGGCTACTGTGCAATGGCCCCCTGCTCGCTCCATCTTCGTTCATCTCAAAACGCACCCGCTGACTTCTTCGCGATGAGGCGGGATCTCGAAGGCAGCTGCGTCGCAGAGTGGCAGACTGCGTCCGATCGTGATGCTGAAGCATCGGCCGAGTAGCTGCACGAACAAGACGTTGTCCAGTCGGAGCCTCACCGACTCCAGTTGGAGTCAGAACTCCAGCACGAATTATCTGTGACGGATCCGGCTGGGAGCCCGACGCCACCGCTGGTCCTGCGGCAGTGATGACATCCTTCGAGGTACGGCGATGTAGCAGTTGCTTGAGGTAAGCCGGTGCATCATAGTAAGTACGGAGCTGTGAGTGATGAGCCCTCCGTTCAACACCATCATCCGTCTTCACGAGGTAAGTAACACCACTTTCAGCCACTTCAGATACAGTCAGTGGACCAATATAACGTGCTTCGAACTTGTTTTCGAGGCGATGTCCAGGTAGCTGGACCGTCTTTTTCACACGGTCTCCGATTCGGAATGGCTTAAACTTCGGATGGCCTGCCTTCCACACATCCTGCCCTTCATCAGAGGCGACACGCGACTCTGTGTCCGCATTTCTCGCATCAAGTAGGAGGGCCGCAGGTGACGTACCGATTTCTGCATGCTTGGTGTTGTTGTACGTTGTCATAGCCTTGGCGAGGTGCAGGTCCCAGTCACCAGCGGAGTCCGTCAGTAAGCGAAGTGACTGACCAATCGTCCTGTTGCAACGCTCCACTGCACCGTTACCCTCGGGATGGTAAGGCGTGCTGTACGCGTGCTGAATCTTCCAGTCGCTCAGGACGGATTCAAATTCCATGCCACGAAACTCCGGACCATTATCAGACAGCACCCGCTGAGGAACCTTCAGAAGAGCTGGCAGAACACGATGATGAAACGCACGTGCCACCGCTGCTGCTGATTTGGATCGCAAAGGCACTGCCACTGCCCACTTGGAACAGTGGTCCACCGCCACCAGACATCCCAGGTGACCTCTTCCTGAGCGAGGGAACATGACGACATCGACTGCCACCAACTCAAATGGCGACTGACACTCTATCTTCTTCACGGGAGGTGGGTGTAATTGAGGCGATGGTTTGTAAAGCTGACAGCGCTGGCAGGTCCGTACAATGTCTGAGATCACCAACTGAAGTCCAGGCGCGAAGAGCCGTTGACCAAAAAGATCGAGCAGCTTATCTCTTCCGATGTGTGCCATATCTTCATGCGCGTGAAACACCAACTCGACCAGCCATGACCGCGAGATAACCGGCAATGGACCATTGTCCGGGTGGTCGAAGACAAGTAAATCATCCCTCAGCTGCAAATGATCCATGTGCTTCTTGAAACATTTCAGGCTCTCAGGCAGACGACCAGGCGGGGTTGTCTGTTCGACATGCGTCTTCAACTCCTTCAGCTGGTCACTGGAGGCCTGATGCTCCCGAATAGACGATGTAGTAGGGACTCCCATGTCAACAGTGTAGCTGACAGCGGCAGCTCTCTGAGCGTCAGGATCGGCGAACATGCTTACTTCACTCCCACCCAGTCGAATTTGAAGACTCGCGAAATCTAGGCAGATGCCGACAGTCCGAATGAAGTCAGCACCGAGGAGTAGACAATGGCCGAAGGAATCGGCCTCGTCAACGAGGAGAACCATGGCCACTGGAGCATGTGACGGCATACCGACTTGTGCGTGGATGAGCCTCTCGCACCGTGCTTGCCCACACAGGCCTATGATGGGTATGCTAACTCTCTGGATGGCGATGCCAGGATCATGAGATGAAATGAGCCGCAATGCACTGGCACTTATCATGCCGATGGCCGCACCGGTATCCAGTAATCCACACAGCGGCACCCCATTGCAGAACGCTGTGATGGTACACTGAGTGTGCTGGTCATGGTCGCAGCTTGGCTTCAACTTCTTGCAGGACGAGTTGGAGGACGTCGTGTCATCAACCTGAGATGCCGTGACTGGTGTCTCCTCCACACTCCTTGCAGAGACTCGACAACTCGCAACGCTCGCAGCGGTCAGTTGCGTTTTGTCGGTCTCCAGGTACGACTGAAGGAGATTGAAGTGAATGCCCCCAAGGCATTGTAGGTGCAGGATATCATTCGCTGAACGACAGTCATCAGTGAAGGTCATCGGGTTAGTTGGGCCAAAATGAACGACAATTTTTACTTTGTACATGGCTGCTGCCACGGTGAGCATATCCATCGCCAGAGGTTGTCCTGAAAACCGCATCAGCCTCAGAGACTGTCGAGATAACCGATCGAGCCGGAAGCCATACTTAGCGGGGCTCCGAAGGGCCTCATCTACCAGCCTCCGGCGAATGTCCCCACCGTCTGCAGGGAACCCATCTCTCTCAGTCATCCAGTGTCGAAGACAATCCACCAGAGAGTTTCCACCGCCTTCAGGACGGTACCGAAGACGAAGACCGTCTGGCAGTTCTTCGTTCTGGTAGGTCCCAGCGGCTGTTGCTGAGGACACTTGCATCCGTGACAGGAGATCTGCGGCGAAGTTTGATTGTCCAGGGACGTAGATAATTTCGTAGTTGTAATCAGCAAGTTCTTCCACGGTGCGGGCAAGACGATGGTTGACGAGCCGCATGTTGTGGAGGTACATCAGTGCCTGGTGGTCAGTGTAGATTTTAAAATGAACAGCACACAAGAATGAGTGGAATGTCTTGACTCCCCAGCGAAGAGCAGCAAGCTCACGACCAGTTACTGAGTAGTTCTTTTGCGCGCTGGTGAAGGTCATCGAGGCAAAAGCAATGAATCTGGGCTGTCCGTCCTGCTCTTGAGTTAAGCACGCTCCAGCACCGATAGCAGAGGCATCCACCCACAGACAGAGAGGACTTGCATCAGGTCTGTAATCGGGGAACGCGAGTGTTATATCAGCTTGCATGTCGGACTTCAGCTGTTCGAATGACTCAATCATCTCATCAGTCCAGGTCAGAACAGTCTTTGCAGGTAAGCCTGTCAGTGCAGACAGAGGTTTGGCGATTGTAGAGCAGTCCTTTACGAACTTCCGCTGGTAATTCACTATTCCCAAGAACTGTCGCAGCTGGTGAACCGTTCGCGGTTTATCCAGTCGCTGGATCTGGTCCACGTACTCCGGTGACTTCCGAAGACCCGATGAACTAATGATGTGTCCCAAGAACTTCACTTCTGGTTGAAACCAAGTACACTTGCGTCCGTTCAGCTTGATTCCCTGGGATCCGAGCGCCGTAAGAACGTCGTCGACCAGCTGCACATGCTTTTCAAACGTAGTCTCCTTCAGAAGAATATCATCTAGATATACGACAAGCTTCTCACGTGCAAATCCGTGAAGAATCGTCTGCATTTCCTTTTGAAATTGTGCTGGGGCATTCTTTAATCCAAAAGGAAGGCGTCGAAACCTCCAATGGGCCCTGGGTGTGCTGAATGCAGTGTAGTCACGTGACTCTTCCTCCAGAGGGAGGTGATAATATGCCTTGGAGATGTCCAGTGCACTGAACCACTGCACTCCGTGATGAGTCCCAAAAACAGTATCGTTGACCTCTGGCATGGGAAATCTGGTTGTTACAGTCTTCTGGTTTAGCCGGCGATAGTCAATGCACAGTCGCAATGTGCCATCCTTTTTTCGGATTGGGACGATGGGAGCATTCCAAGAAGATTCACATCGCTCAATGATGCCGAGACGCTCCAAGTCTAGACACTGACGCTCGACTTCGTCCGCAACTGGGGCAGACATCTTCCGTGGTCTGATGTAAATGGGCGTATCATCAGTCAACTCAATACGATGTGGTGTCATCAACGACTGGAGCGCATCCGCATCCGAGCGCATGAACACTGTTGAGTGACGTTCGAAGATCTCCTGTACCGCCGCTCGCTGATCTTCAGAGAGACCCGGTATGTCGGAGGCCGAGGGACAGGAACCATCGGGCTCGATCCCGTCTGTGGATGCTGTAGAAGAGTACACCGGCACGCTTCCCTCCACGTCCAGGGCGCTGTCCGCGGCGGAGTCCAGGTAACCGAGAATAGAACCCTTACGCACTGATTCTGAAGCCATTCCCCGGTTGGATACGAGGACACGCGGGTTGGTTGGATCAAAGATACCCGAGACGAACTCTAGGTCACTTGACGCGTCCACACGACCAGCAAAGACAAGAGGACGGGAATTGATCTCGCATGAGCTACACGCAGCAGGGAGGACGGCTGAACAACCTAGTACGGCTGTGTCTCGCTTCGTCACTCGGGTTTCTCGTACCGCCACACACGGTACATCAGTCATGAACAATACACAAGACTCCTTCTTTCCGAGTGGTAAGTATAGTGTCCATCGAGATCGATCCTTCCGAGACCCAGAAACAGCGTTTCTATTCATGTCCAGGCAGAGGCCGTGTTGCTGCATGGCATCTCTCCCGATGATAAGTTCGACAGGGCACTTGCTGCTGTCCAACACCAAACAATCCAATTGGAGTTCGATTCCGTGCATATTCACTGGAAGGCATACTCGGCCAAGGGCTGGCAGAGCACTGTTGCCAACAGCTCTTACCACTTCATCACTTGGGGTCATAAAATCCACATCCACAAACTTACTTCCAATGATTGTTCTGCCCGACCCACTGTCCAACACCGCCTCCACGTTTTCTGAATTCAGCTGAACGGAAACTCGCAAAATAGACGGAGATGAAATAGCAGAAGTGAAGACGGAAGCGTTCGTCGAGTCGGGTGCATCACCATCACAGTCATCTGTAGGATTGTGTTCGTCAACGGTAAGCAGGCTTGAGACAGGGTCAACTTCACTGGCGTTGCAGGTGTTTAGATGCGTTCTTTCTTGAGTCCCCTGAGCACACGATATCCCGGTCGATGGCGGGGCAGGTCGTGGTCCGGTGGATGACGGGGCAGGCGATGACCCGGCGGGCGAGACGGGCGGCGGCCCGGCGGGCGAGATAGGCGGCGGCCCGACGGGCGACGGGACAGGCGGCGACACGGCGGGTGGCGAGGCAGACGGCCACCCGGCGAGCGACGAAGCAGACGGTGGCCCGGCGGGCGACAGAGCAGACGGTGGCCCGGCATACGACGGGGCGGGCCGCAACCCGGCCGACGACGTGGCAGGCGGTGACCCGGCGGGTGAGACGGGCGGCGGCCCGACGGGCGACGGGACAGGCGGCGACACGGCGGGTGGCGAGGCAGACGGCCACCCGGCGAGCGACGAAGCAGACGGTGGCCCGGCGGGCGACAGAGCAGACGGTGGCCCGGCGTACGACGGGGCGGGCCGCAGTCCGGCCGACGACGGGGCAGGCGGTGACCCGGCGGGCGAGATAGGCGGCGGCCCGCCGGGCGACGGAACAGGCGGCGACACGGCGGGCGGCGAGGCAGACGGCCACCCGGCGAGCGACGAAGCAGACGGTGGCTCGGCGGGCGACAGAGCAGACGGTGGCTCGGCGGGCGACAGAGCAGGCGACGGCAGGGCAGGCCCGGCGGGCGACGAAGCAGACGTTAGCCCGACGGGATCCAATCGACGACGGGACAGGCGGTGCTCTTGTCGACGGCGGCGCCGACGGGATCCATTCGACGACTGGGCAGGCGGCGCTGGCAACGAGGCAGACGTTGACCCGGCCAACAAGGAAGACGATCGTCTAACAGGCGACAGAACAGACACGTCCGCTCCGTTGATGCTGCTTTCTTCACGAAAACGTTCGCCGTCAGGGCTGTATTCGGTCACAGCAGGCTGCCCTGGTTCGCCTGTGTGACCGACTAGTTTTCCGATTGCCTTGTGTGTCCCTGGCGATCTGATCGAACTGTACGGACGGGGGATGGTGATCGAGAACTGTCGCCACTTGCAGAACGAGTCTCCGATCGAGCACCAGCTCCAGGTCGCCTCCGGGCGCGTGAAGCGGACCCGCTCTGACGGAGCTGTGAACCTTCCGCACCTCCCTCCCGTCGGCCTGGATTCCGTGTAAATGAACGTGATTCGCAGTCTCGAACTAGATGATCTGAGCTTCCACAAGCAAAGCACAGACCAAGCTTCTGTCGACAGATGTCCTCAGCATGTCCACGACGGCCACAGAAACTGCAGAACGCCCGCGATCTGTCACTGCTTTTTCCTCTGGCCATGGATTGTTCAGACCTTGATTCGCGTTGAAGGCTTCTATGAACACTTTCATTCCGCTGCTTCTCACTTCGTCGCCGAGTGCCGGACTCATCATGCGTGTTCCTCTGAGAACGGCGAGCAGTTCGATCCACTGCCATCCCCGGTCTCTCAGGTGCTCTTCCTCGTGGCGGTTCTTCCATTGCGGCCAGTACCGTGGAGTCTAATCCCGCTACTGTGTGCTTCTTACACTGAAGAATCGTCAGGTAATGATCCCATAGCAGCGTCTTGCCGTGGATAGCCCTGTTATATCTGATGTCCAGTTTCAGCTGTTCCCGGATAACAGGTGGCAGGCTCTGGAAAAGTCGGTCTCGTAGAAGCTCAGACGATTGGACGTCCTCACCAGGAAAGGCGTCTTCGAAAAGAGAAGACAGTCGGAGGGCAAAGAGCGCAAGGTCCTCTCCTGGTCCTGGTTTCGCATTGTCGAAACGAATTCGAGTACTCTGCTGTGTGTGGTCAGTTTGGACAGCCACCCAACGTAGCATACGTTCCTTCAGTTTTGCATACGTGGTTTCGGTCCCTCCGCAAGCCGAGAACACTTCGGCCACTTCACCGACCAAGAGAGACTGCAGAAGCGGAAGAGCTTCGTCCAGAGTTCCGGAATACGTGCGTGAGCAGTGATCTTCAAATCGTTGGAAGTACTGGTTCAGACTTGTAGTACCACCCAGACCAAAAGTCGGAATGGTGAACGTCTGCTGAAGAAGGAATCCCCCAGACGATCCCTCACCAGGCCGACTCCCCGGAGGTCTTGACTGATCCCGCATGGGCTGCTCCGCATGGGTCGCTTCCGGGACATGAACAAGTTGCTCTTCAGTTCGGCTTGCCGCTGGTAACCGAGATGTATCCCGAGTGGGTGCGACTGACGTTCGCTCTGCCAGCAGTTCGCTCAGTTCGTTGATGCGCCCGAGTGCCTCCTGCAGTTGCAGCTCAAGTTGAGCAACACGCTCCTCCGGCTCAGCCATCTCGTTCTGACTCACCGTAGTAGCCGCAAGAGACGCGGTGAATCAATGTAGGAATCCAATCGACGATGGGCAGGCGATGTCCCAGTCGATGACCGGGCAGGCGGCAGACAGGCCGACGACGGTGCAGACGGGATCCGATCGACGGGGCAGGCGGTGCCCCGGCCGACGACGGTGCCGACGGGATCCAATCGACGATGGGCAGGCGATGTCCCAGCCGATGACCGGGCAGGCGGCACACAGGCCGACGACGGTGCAGACGGGATCCGATCGACGGGGCAGGCGGTGCCCCGGCCGACGACGGTGCCGACGGGATCCGATCGACGATGAGCAGACGACGTGTAGACGGGATCCGATCGACGGGGCAGGCGGTGCCCCAGCCGACGACGGTGCCGACGGGATCCAATCGACGGTGAGCAGGCAATGTGCAGACGGGATCCGATCGACGGGGCAGGCGGTGCCCCAGCCGACGACGGTGCCGACGGGATCCAATCGACGATGGGTAGGCGATGTCCCAGCCGATGACCGGGCAGGCGGCACACAGGCCGACGACGGTGCAGACGGGATCCGATCGACGGGGCAGGCGGTGCCCCGGTCGACGACGGTGCCGACGGGATCCGATCGACGATGAGCAGACGATGTGCAGACGGGATCCGATGGACGGGGCAGGCGGTGCCCCGGCCGACGACGGTGCCGACGGGATCCGATCGACGATGAGCAGGCGATGTGCAGACGGGATCCGATCGACGGGGCAGGCGGTGACCCGGCCGACGACGGTGCCGACGGGATCTGATCGACGATGAGCAGGCGATGTGAAGACGGGATCCGATCGACGGGGCAGGCGGTGCCCCGGCCGACGACGGTGCCGACGGGATCCGATCGACGATGAGCAGGCGATGTGCAGACGGGATCCGATGGACGGGGCAGGCGGTGCCCCGGCCGACGACGGTGCCGACGGGATCCGATCGACGATGAGCAGGCGATGTGCAGACGGGATCCGATCGACGGGGTAGGCGGTGCCGCGGCCGACGACGGTGCCGACGGGATCCGATCGACGATGAGCAGGCGATGTGCAGACGGGATCCGATCGACGGGGCAGGCGGTGCCGCGGCCGACGACCGGGCAGACGGGCAGACTGTGGATCGGCCGACAACAGGGCAGACGGGATCCAGCCGACGACGGGACGGACAGGATCCGGGTGATGACGAAGGCGACAGGACCCTGCCGACAACGGCGTAGACGGACTAAGCAATGTATATACCACAATGTCTGAATAGTGCCATGTTTGGATAGCTGGATTTGGTCCTAGCCCCGGCTGCGTGTTTATGGAAGTACGGGTAATAAATATGGCAAATTTCCCGAATGCGATTACCGTAACCAGCAAATACAATTGACCTATGAGAATGAGACACACCGGCTAACCTATAATTATCAGCAGCGTACGATCCACACTTTTCGAACACACTCACACAAACACAGGGCTGATCACGCCTAATTCCGTCGTTATTTGGGCCATACAAGTGTCACAGACCGCAAAATATGGTGAAATATTTCAACCATACAAATAAATCAGTTTGCACGCGGTCTAGATGCAGTGATGCACAAAAGTTCGCGCCCTGCAATCGGTACCAGGTACTCACCGGTGCGGCAGATTTGAGCACTCACGCCAAGTAGAGTCGCCAGATTCGGTCGGCACAAGTACTGCTGGTGCAGGTTCGGTCAGCGGGCGAGTCAGGTGCAGTCCGTGTAGAGACGGATACCGGCGGCAGGCACGGTCCACGTCGAGACAGGCACGGTCCGCGTCGAGACGGGCACCGGCGGCAGGCACGGTCCGCGTCGACACAGGCACCGGCGGTAGGCACGGTCGTGTAGAGACGGACTCCGGCGGCAGGCACGGTCCGTGTCGACACAGGCACCGGCGACAGGCACGGCTCACGTCGAGACAGGAACGCTCGAGAAAAGACGGGCACCGGCGGCAGGCACGGTCCGTGTCGAGACGGGCACCGGCGGCAGGCACGGTCCGCGTCGAGACGGGCACCGGCGGCAGGCACGGTCCGCGTCGAGACCGGCACCGGCGGCAGGCACGGTCCGCGTCGAGACAGGCACGGTCGTGTAGAGACGGGCACCGGCGGCAGGCACGGTCCGCGTCGAGACAGGCACCGACACGGTCGTGTAGAGACGGACTCCGGCGGCAGGCACGGTCCGTGTCGACACAGGCACCGGCGACAGGCACGGCTCACGTCGAGACAGGAACGCTCGAGAAAAGACGGGCACCGGCGGCAGGCACGGTCCGTGTCGAGACTCCGGCGGCAGGCACGGTCCGCGTCGAGACAGGCACCAGCGGCACGGCAGGCACCGACTACAGGCACGGCTGGTGCAGCGCAGAGACAGCCATCACCGGCACCGTGCGGTGCTGATAGTCACTTTGAATTAGTCACTGATAATTGTTACTGAATCACTGGCGCTATCAAAATCGCATAGGACGAGCCCCCAATGTTAGCGGAGCGCCGCCAGAGTCAACATAAAGTTCTTGAAAAAGGCACACTGTATTTTCACCGCTTGTGAGCACTCGGACACGAAAACCGCACGACCGTCACGCTCCGGCTCCGTCCCCGAATGCCCGCCCCCCCGCCGGCCGCCGCAGTCAGCGGTCAGCCGGTGCCCCGCGGCGGTAACCTCCGCAGGGGCGAGGTCAGGCTCCGGCGGAGGGCAGGGCGCCCGCAGGGGCGAGGTCAGGTCAGCCCCGACTCGACTCGGACACCGCAGCGACGCGGTGTAACATAAACGCACATACGGGTACAAGGTCGAGGGTTACGTAAGGTTCGCGCGCTCATTTGGAATCGGGCTCTCGCTTCGTTTGTTCGTGCTCTTGGTCTCGCTGCAGTCGGTCCTGCTTTTGTTCTATCGTCCTATCAACATGCGCTGCTTACAGTGTTCTGACATTCGGTTTTGGACTGCCAGCCGCTTGTTCGTTGGGTTTGAGAATTCGTTAGAGATAGGTACGCTTGGTCGTCGGCCGTTCGGTCATTCATTTTCCCCTTGTCCCTGCCCCTCGACCCACAACACTTGCTGAGGACATCCATATGAAACGCATCGTTGCGCGGCAAATCAATGTATTTGAATTAACAACAATTATTTATGACGATGAGGATGACAATGGCAGTTCAAGTCGATCTTGGACACATAGTTAAGCTACTGGTTGATCAATTGACATTATTAATGGACGTGACAACACGCAGGGTGAATAACATATATCACAGAAGCAGCTGCCGGTCGAGTCGACAGCAGCAGTGACCCGAGGTCGGGTCGGTGGTCCAGCGATGACGGTCCAGTCGGTCCAGCGATGATGGTCCAGCCGGGGTCCAGCGACACCGGCTGCAGTTGCTGTTCAGCGGTGGCCCCTGCCGCGCGAGGGGCTCCATGGACAGTAGCAGCAGACCTCGAACGCTGTCTTTTTGGCGACAGTTCTTTCCGAGCGTTTCAGCTTCTTGGATACTTGAGCCCTCCTGATTTGACTAGGAGATTCAGATGGGCTCCAGCAGACGATCACGCTGGCTCAAAAACAGCTCGCTGCTACGAAGACACCAGTTATATCGAGTTTGAAGATGTGGGTGTCTTCTAGCCAAAGTTCTTGCCAACTAGCAGACAGTGGTAGGATGGACCTTGAAGAGCACCTTGCTCTCAGTAGACTCCGGTAGGGTCCAGTTTGTAACACCCGCTGCTCTTGCGGTAGACGCCGGTAGGGTCGAGCTTAGAGCGCAGCTTGCTCTTGTGGTAGATGCCCGTAGGATCGAGCTTGCAGGTCACCTTGCTGTCGAAGTAGACGCCCGTGGGATCGAGTTTGAAGAACATC